TCGGCAGGCGGTGCCCCGCGGGGCCTCGTTCACCTCTTTCTCGAGTCCCTACACGGAACTGCCTGCCCAGGGTCTTTCCCGCGGAACAGAGTGGGTTTCGCATAGGACAGGCCTGAAGCTGGTGGAGGAGAAAAGATGATGACTTAGTGGTAGCCTTGAGGACTCATTTGGGGGCTCTGTGGGGGAACAGGATGCGATGGCTGATAATAAGATGAGAGCCCCTGTGAGGAGAAAGGGCTAGGACTTGGGGCATGGGCGCTGAGAGACAATGAATCCTGAAGACGCCCCATGATAGGGATGGGGAGGGTTGAGCTGGAATGGGGCCTCTCCCCAGTGCCTGTTTTGGCTGAGTCTGGTGAGTAAGCATAACATAGACCTAGCTTTTGGCACTCCTCAGCCATGTAGTCTTGGGGCCTCGGGACTTGTAATTTATTTTTATTTTTTATTATTTTCAAAAAATCTTTTTTGGGGGGGAGGGGCAGAGAGAATCTCAAGCAGGCTCCAGCTCAGCTCCCCCCATGCAGGGCTCAGTTTCACCGGCCTTGAGATCATGACCTGAGCCGGACACTTAACCGATCGAGCCGTCCAGGTGCCCCTAAACTTTATTTTTAAGTAATCTCTATGGATGCCTGGGTGGCTCAGTTGTTAGGTGTCTGCCTTTGGCTCAGGTCATGATCCCAGGGTCCTGGGATCGAGCCCCCACATCGGGCTCCTTGCTCAGCAGGAAGCCTGCTTCTCCCTCTCCCACTCCCCTGCTTGTGTTCCTCTCTCGCTGTCTCTCTCTCTGTCAAATAAATAAATAACATCCTAAAAAAAAAAAAAAGTAATCTCTATACCCCATGTGGGGCTCGAACTTACAACCCTGAGATCAAGTCACAAGCTCTACTGACTGAGCCAGCCAGGCACCCCTCTTGGGGCTTGTAATTTAAAACCCTGGGGTTTCTCATCTGTGCAGTGGGAGTAATAATAACAGTAACATGGGAGGGTGACCAAGTAACAGACTGTATGTGATTACACATTTGTGGGGCCCAATAAACACTAATTTCCTTTCCCCCTAGGTGACATCCTGATAGCCAGGGCAGACTTGGAGTAGAAGGGAGATCCCTGACATCAAATGAGGTCCAAGAGGAAGGAAAAGAAAAAGGAGAGCTGAAAACAGTCATAAGTGAGGAAAGCCAGGTAGGGCATGGAAGGGAGGTAGGCCCTATGGAAAACCTTGACTGTAAGGGCCTTTTGTGGGATGAGGATGTGATGAGGTTCTTGGCTGAAGAGAGAAGACTGGAGCTTCGAGAATGGGTTTGGAGAAGAGATGAAGGTTGGAAGAACCAACTGCCCGTGGCCTTGGCCTTTCAGAGATGACTTTCCTGCCAGGGTCAAGTGTAGGTCTCAAAATGGCAGCCCTCCTTCTTCCTGGTGGTGTTTCAGAGCAGAGGTGTATAGGAGGAAGGAAAAGTCAATTTCTGAATTGCCCTGGTCATTGAAGCTCCTGGTAGCTCAGGGGACTCAGCCCTCCCCACATCACCAAGTGGGCTGGGTGGTCCACAGACTAGGGTGGACTGTCCACTGGCTGATGGTTCATGACTGGTGACCCCATGTCTCCAGGAATGGATGTCCAAGTGGGTAAGATCATTGAGCATGAGTCAGAGTGCCTGCTCTGGCTCCTTGTGAGACCAGGAGCATCTCCCACCTTCAACCTCCCTGATTTCCATGGAGCCTGAGGGCTGAGGCTAGCCCCATACGCTGTCTCCTTTGCCTTCTTGGAAGACCAGAGCAGGTGACACCTGGAGCTGGGGTAACTGGTGTGGACAGGGGCCTCTCCTTCTCAAGGAAAACACTTTGGACTGCAGAGGCAATGGGCTCAAGAGAGGAGAAGCTGAGGGCCCCTGACCTGAGAAGCCCCTTTTAACTGTATCAGAAGGAAGCTCTCCCCAGGCCTCCTGTGTGCTGATCAGAGGAAAGGAGGGGCAGGGTGGAGACCTCCTGGCTGGAGGCAGGGGTCCTCACTGGTGGTGACCAGCAGCTGCCCCAGCTTCATTTGCCAAACCCAGGGGATGCCTGGAAAGCTAGGGCCAGGAGCCATGCAGCGGGTATTTCCAGACACAGAGGAGTCCGGGGTTTATGGTACCTCCACGGCAACTTTCCCAGAGCCCCTGGCTTCCCCTTCCCTAGCTCCTTCCTGTCCGCACCCTAGCGAATGAACAGGGAGGCTGGGGTGGGGGAAGGGAGGGAAGGCTCAGGGAGGCCTCTGCGTGGAGACCCTCTGGCTGGAGGCCGAGCCCCAGCCTGCCCTTGCCTCCTGCCCAGATCCCTCAGGGCGCGGACAACTCTGAGAGATGGGTCACAGGACTAAAGAACAGAGGGTACAGGGCAAAGACATTGCTCAGAGGGATGGGACTGAGAGAGAACCTGCCACCAGCTAGTGCTGAAGGACTGAGGGAGCTGGGGCAGAGCCTGAAAGCAAAGGTTCAGGCACCCCCTGGGCCCTAGATCTTGAGCTGGCTTCCTTAGCTGAGATTTTTCTTCCTCTGTAGAAGCCTCTTCACTCACTCATCCTCTACCCTGGCTGGCTAGCCTCCACTGTCCCTCCCCAGCATACAGGTCGCTTGTCTCTGAAACCTCTCTTCTCTGTAAACTTTGACAGGTGGGAAGCTCTCCCTAGCCCCACCCTCCCACTCAGCCCTCACTGCCCTCTTCTGGCTCTGGCCTTCCATTAGCATCCAGGCTCAGCGTTGTCCCTGGGTTCCCCAGGTTACTGCGTGCACTCCACCTTCCTCCACTGAGCAACAACTCATCTCCTGGAAGGAACTCTGACCTCTCATTTCTCCATACAGCTTCTGATCTCTGATCCCAGCTGCCACCCAGGACTTGAAGCAAGCAAGAGATAGGGGATGGGCAGCCCCAGGAACCTGGGAGTGGGGACTACTCAGACAGCCTCCCTGGAAGAAAGGGTCAGGCCTGAACCAGGAAGTGCTGTGTTTCCAGTACTCTCATAGAGAGAGAAAGACATCAGGGACAGGTGCCAACTCTGAGCAGCTGCCTGAGTAGGCGGGGCACTGTTTCCTGGAGAAGGGAACCTGACTGCCATGGTCAAGGAGGTGATGGGTCTGAAGCAAAGGATGGTGACCCGCTGTCTCCTTCTCTCACCATGGTCAGAATGAGAGGAAACGGGCTTCCATTGTGGCAGGAAGGATTTAGGTTAGACATATGGGAGAACTTCCTGTGACAGTGTCTACACTATGTATCCCAGTTGTTGATCCAGGTTGAACTCTCCCCTGGAGTTGATGAGAATTGCATGTTAATGCTTGCTAATGAATAACTTGCCTTGCCTGTGATTAGCGAAGAACCTCCAGCCCAGAGAATGTATGCGTCCAGACTCTCCCCAGAGAAGTCCAGAGAGGCCTGGGAGGCACCAAGACCAGAGCCCCAAAGAGTTTTCTGGACAAACTTAGGCCACTGTGAGCCGATGTCACTTTGCCTCTCCTGCCCCCAGCCCTCTGGCCACCACTCTCAGAAAAAACAAGCCCTCTGGAGCTGTCCAGCCACAAGAACTTTGAGTGAGGCAAAGGGGCGGGCTGGATTTAAGGTCTGGGAGCTCATAGAGAATTCCCAGAGCAACGGTGAATACTCAGGGTCTCCAACACCAGGGATTTCAGTAACAGCCTCAGTTAACTCTATACATTTAGAAACAGACAGGCTTTGACCCTCTATTGTGCCCACTCACCCCAGTCTCCTGAGTCCTGCTTGGGCTGCATGAATACTTGTGTTGTTGGAGCATTCTGCCACCAAGATCCCTGTGTCGCCTTGTGACCAACGCCCCCCTCTCTTGCTTCCCCTCCTCTACTAAGTGGCTTGATCCCCTACCCCCATTACCCCAACCCTTCTCCAAGTAGAAAGGAAGCTAGGGAGACTGAGGACAAATCCATCAAACTGCCATCAAAAGAAGAGAATGCAGGCAAAAGTGTGTACCCTGTGGCTAGCCTTCTTGGGGCCACATGTGTAAGCAGAGTGTGGGTCCATCAGTCAGCCAATTGTGGATGAGGTCTACCGTGTGCCTAGCATGGGGCTAAGGTCAGCGAGGCCAAAAGGAACATCATATGTCGCTCCTGATGCCCATGGGAATTGGAGTTGAAATCGAGGCCCATGAAAAGAAACGTGATGACCTTTGGAACCAGGGTTCAGAGAGGGAGTAGGGCTTCAGGGGTCAAAAGAGGCTTTGTGGGAGAGGGGGATTGCACTGAGCCTGGATGGGAAAAAAAAAGAGTGGAACTTAGAGAAGAGAGGGCATTCCTGGCAGGGAGAATGGAGAGAGGGAAAGGATCAGGGTGGAAAGGAAGTAGGTAGAGGTAGAACAGATTTCACATATGGAGACATGTGGTTAGATAGGTAGGGTTTGGAGACCCAGCAGGCAAATTCGGACTTGATTGAGAGGCAGTCGGGAACCTGTGGGTTCTTGAGCTGAGGAGGGTGTTCTGGCAGCAGCAGGCAAGATGGTCTAGAGTGGGGAGGTACAAAGGGCAGGCCAGAGGCAGCCAGGAGGCTTTCTGCACCTCTGGCTGGTGGTCAGGTGTGCAGAGATGCCTGGGTCCTGCCCCTGAGATGGCTGGCCACCTGAGAATGCCAGACCCCTGATGACCTGCTAGGAGGGGCCCCACACCCAGCATCTGCTTTCTCTTCTCAGCCTCTGCTTTTCAGATAGAGCCCTGCAAACATGACCAGCATCAGGGCTCCCCAGTCCCAATACTGAGGGTGGGGGCCACTCTGGCCATGCCACTTCCCCTGCCAGTTCTCCCTACTTCCTCCTTTTTCTTTGAGAGGCCCGAGGCTCTGCCTGGAATCCCAGACTTGCCTAGAAGAGGATAAAGGGTTGGATCAGGCCCGGTTCATCTAACCTCAGACCTGGAACACACAAAGGGAATCCATAGGTGTCTCTAGAAGCTCAGGGTGGGGTGAGCTCTCACGGCCACCTAGATCAACCCCATATTCTGTAACCAAGAGCTTGAATACTTCTGGGGATTGGATCCTCACCCCCTCTCCAGGCTGAGCCTGCTCTTTAGATAGTTCTGGTTATAGAAAGGTTAGACATATGGGAGAACTTCCTGTGACAGTGTCTACACTGCTCATTGATCCAAAAGTCCTGCTGTGGTCAATGTGGCCTGGTGTCATGGGAGGGCTCTGTTTGGACTGGGCCTCGCTCAGGGGCTTCTGGAACGGCGCTGCCAGAGGGAGGGTCCACCAGCCTCTTGGATCTGGGGTGGCTCTGCGGGGTCCTGTGGGCCCCCTGCCGCGCCTGCTTGGCACCCTGGGCTGGGGCAGTTTAAGCGTGAGAAGCTCAGGTCAGTTCCCAGCTCGGCCCGGGGGTGGGGCAGCCAGGGTGAGGCCAGCCCTGGTCAGCCCTTCTCAGCCTCACCGGGGAGGCCAGGCTCAGGTCAGCCTGTCGCAAGGGCTGTCCCTCCCCAGGCTGAGATCATCGCCCTCCGGCCTCCATGGCAGCCCCCACCCCCAGCTGAGCTCACTGCCCTGGCCCGCTGGGGGACATTGTTGTCTCCCGGGCCCCTCCCCCGGACTCAATGAGCTGTTTGTTGGCATGTCCGGCGCGGGCAAGGGGAGGGCGGGCACAAGGCGCCCGCACACAATGGGGATTCCGTCCATTCTGAGGTGGCTGCGGGAACCAGGCTGGCTTTGTCCCTGGGACCCTCATTCCCACCATTTAACGGAGCCGGAACTCCAGGCGGAAGGCCCCGTATAAGAACAACAATGTCGTCACCCTGTCTGTGGGGGAGGGTGCTGCAGGCCAGGGTTCCTGGGGCCCAGGGGACCCACAGTCTGTGGCAGCCGGGGGGGCACTTGGGGCAGGGCTGAGGCTGTGCCACAGATCGGAGGGGAACTCGGGAGGCAGATGGGCACTCCCCCACCTGCCCTGCCAGTCCGTCAGCAGTCTGTGGCACACATGGAAGGGGGCTCCCTGGCATCACCAGCCATGCTCCACTCCTCCGTGTGCAAAGATGAGCCCTAAGGCACAGAAGGGACGAATGCATCCCGTAAGCCCTGTTTGGTGGTGTGCCATGGAGGGACTGGGTTAGGGGCAGCCTGACCTGCAGGCCTTTCTGCATCCAACTTGGGCAAAGCACTTTGCTCAGAGCTGGGCCGAGGCCCATTCCTGGGCCACTAGCTTGGCTAGCCTGCCCCTTCGGAAGTGGCGCGGGCTGCTCAGACAACAAGTGTTTATTTTCTGGGGGGGGGGGGGCAGCACAGGACGTCATGGCGTTTCCCTCCTGCCTGGTGCTGCAGTGGTTCTCACAGTCTGGGCACTGGTCACATCACCAGCCTTTCCTCCTCAGCCCTGGCCTCCTGGCCTCCCCCTCCCACCCTACCCCATGCTCGGGCCAGGCTACACAGTTCTGAAGCTCCTGCTTCCGGTGCGGGGGCCCTTCGGAGCAGGTCCTCATGGAGGATGTGAGCAGCTGGGAAGTGCTAGACCGTCCCTTTGTCACTGCCCTTGGCATTCAGGCTGAGCTGAGGGATAGCCCTTCTGTGCTCACCCTCACCAGGACGGTTGGTGTCCCACCCGGGCACACTCCTAGTGCGATGCTGGCCCTTTAAGGGTCTTGGGAAGCCAGAACAACAGGAAATCCAAACGGCCTCATTAGGCAGCTCCGAGCTCAGCACAGTAATTAGTGCCCTGAAAACAAAACAAGGAAAAGCAGGTGGTGGTGCCCCCCCTCAATCTCGGCTGCCCCCGGCATGGCCTGTTAGTACCCAGAGTGAGGCAGCTGGGATTGGAGCCCCTCCCTTCTAAGCCCCCTCACCCCAAGCTCCTGAAGCCGGCTGCCCACTGCCCAGGCCAAGGGTCAGAGCCTAAGCTTCTGGGGAGCAGGCAGTGGCTTCTCTTCGCACTGTTTCCCCTGGGGAGATTGAAGCCCCAGGGGCGTGCATTGGGGCTTCCCCTCTCCCCACAGCCAGGTGGCCACTTGTCCACAGCATCCTCCACCTGTTTGGAAAATGCTGTGATGGGGGCTGGGAGCTGGGGTGGGCTCCTCCAGCGGGAGAGAGGAGACCCCTGGGAATCCCAAGCCAAGAAGGCCCCCTTAGGAGAAGGGAAAAGCCTGCTCTGTGGTCCTGCCTCTCAGGATCTGTGGTGATTCTCCAGGTAGGCAGGACCACTTGGGCAGAGGGGATGGTAACCCACAGGCCCTCTGGACAGACCCTGGGGACTTCAAAGCTCCCTCCATTGGTAAAAGCCTGGCCGGGAGCAAAAAGGGACCCTAGTGAGTTCTCCTGAGCCAGGCAGCAGGCCCTGGCTCATTTTATCCTTTCCCCTCCCCGTGTGATGCAATTGGAACCCTACTTTGTCCCTGACCCCTAAGATATCTCCCTTTATTTGTACAGCTAGGGGAGGAATATACTATGCTCCACTTAAGAAACGAATATTCATTCAACAAACATTTATGGAGTAGTTGCTATACTCCCTACACTGTGCTGGTAGGGTGTTCCTGAGAAGGTTTCAGAGAACTCATCGTGATAGCTCATTACAGTCCTTCTCTATCTCTCTCTTTTAAGTAATCTTTATGCCCAACATGAGGCTTGAACTCACAGCCCTGAGATCAAGAGTCACGAGAGCCAGGCGCCCCAGTCCTTCCCTGTCTTGAGAAGGCCTTTGAGTGGAGGGACTATGGCTCTCTTCAGGTGTGTATCTCCCCATAGACCTAGCACGTAGGTGATTGCTCCATGTTTATTAACAATCAAAAATGAACTAGGAATGGTCTCTGACTTCAGAGAGTTTACCATGTAAGTTTACCAGCAGCAGCACCCTGGCAAGCCCCCAACCCTTGGTGATAATCAGCTCCCGTGCTCCGAGCCCAGACCTCCAGGAGAGCCCGAGCCTTTGTGCAGAGCAAGGGCTGAGGGCATATGGGGGAAGAAACCTCGAGTCCTCCTGAGAATAAAGCTGGCTATGACCCTGGGATGTGGGGAGGAGTTGCCTGGGCTACGGCAATGTGAGGAAGGGGGATGCTGAGCAGGATTTCTGGGCAGGTTGGGTGTGGAAGGTGGCCAGCCTATGGCTGGGGAATGGGGCTATAATTAAGCTGTGGGTAGGTTTCTGGCCACAGAGCCTGTTGGCTGAGAACAAAGGCCTGAGACATCATTGCCCAAGGGGAAGAGAAGGAGCAGAGGGAAGGGGTAGCAGTAACCCAGAAACTCCCATCGGGTTAGGCAGCTGGTCAGGGAACCTGACTGGCTGGTCAGGGAACTCTGCAGGCACCTCTGGAGGCCATCAGCTAGGTGGTAGGTAATTTCTGAGGGGCTTCAATCTGGAACTGAGGGGCCAGTGCTGATGGCAGAAGTGGAGGGGACCAGCCAGCAAGTGACCAGAGGGTCACAGGGTCATGGAACAGGGGTTTCCCAGCCCTGACTATGCTATGAGAATCACCTGAGCAGCTCCCTAGAGATTTTGATATAATTGTTTGGAAAAGGGGCCTAGGAGGCACTGGTATTTTCTAAAAGCTCTCTAAGTGACCCATTGCGCACCCGAGGTTGAGAACAGTTCTCCCTGGGAGCACAGGGCCCTGCTTTAAATCCTAGGGCCTCATTTGCCCCTCCCCAGAGCCCACAGTGCTCAGAGGCCACACCCACTGGACCAAATAGCCCGAGTGCCCCGGGGAAATGGGCAACAGAATCCCGTAGGCTTGGGGGTGGAGCCTTTGGAGAAGCCCTCCCCTTCTTGGACCCCAAACCCCAGTGGAAAGTTACCCAGGGAAGCAGCCGTGGGGCAGACAAGGCGAGAAGCCTGGGGGGAGGGGTGTGCGTGGGGTGCCCTTGGCTTCTCTAGGCCCCCTAGCAGGGACCCTGCTGCCTAGCACTCTAGGCCCCTAGGCCCGGGGACAGCGCCCCTGGAGAACAGGCTGGGGACTGGGGGGGCGCGGGGGGTGGGGAAGAAAGGTAGACTCAAAGCACCTGAGCAGATGGGGCCTGATCCCGTTTGGGACGTGCGCTCCTGAATCATTTCCCGGATATAGCTCAACGGCCCAGACTTCAAGGTTTTGGGGGGGAAATCTTTTTTCCAAGTTCCTCGATCTGTCATCCCCTCCCCCGCCGGCCGGATAGGCCTGGACCAGTGTCCTCTCTCAGCTCCCCCTCAGCCTCCCAGCTAGGGCTTCTCCACTGAACTCCCTGGACATTGTTTCCCTCCTCAGGAAGTCTCTGATGCCCTGCGCTGGATTTTGTTTTCCTTGTTATCGGGACAACTAATATTTTTTCCTGTGCGGAAAAAAAAAAAAAAGAGAGATTTTCCCAAGCAGATTACAGCTGTCAGTGAGGGGGGGAGGGGGCTGGAGGTTGAGCCCTCCCTTCACCCTCCCCTTCTGCCACCCTTACAGGGCTGAGCTTTTGAATGAAGGAGGAAGTCCTGGCCCCAGAGCCTGCTGGGCCAATTGGAGCTGGGGGCAACTCTGGCCTTGGCCTTGGCAGAAGAGACCCTGCCCTCTGCCTATGGGGCCCCTGCTCCCTGCTAAGAGGGCTGACCCGTGGCTGCATCACATTTCCAAGGACAGGGAGAGGGTCCTGAGCTTGCCTTCTCTCTGGGGGACTGAAAAGGCAGGCCACCCCACAGCGGCAGCCTGGCAGGACCTGGGAGGAGGGGGAGCACTTAGGAGACCCAGCTCTGTGGAACCCTGTGACTTTGGGCCATTCCCTCTCCTCCTGAGCCTCGAGCTCCTCCCCTCCACCAGGGAAATATTGATAGCTGCTTCACCTATCTAAACGGTTCTGTTGTGACAATGCGGAGGAGATAAAGAATATGATTCAGTGTCAGAGGTTCTTCTGACTCAGGTCAGAAGGGTTAATGGCAGATGTCTCAGGACCTGTGTGACCTGCATGAGGCCCCAACAGCCAGCAGGACCAGAAGACAGAGGCTGTCCCCGAGCAGGCACAGCCGGATGTGCATGTACACACACATGCGACCGTGAAACACACACACACATACACAGGCCTGGGCATTCCTCCTTGATAAATGCTCACTTTCTGCAAGCGGGTGTTGTGGCTCTAGGGACAGGCTGCCGGGGCCTTTGGGGGTAGGGAGCCGTAGCATAACCCCGGCTTCAGCAGAAGAGCCTTGCCGAAGATGACCGGGCTTCTTTTCAAGCTGCCAACAACAAAGAGAAGAGTTTCAGATGTGGGTTACTCAGTTGTTTGTGGTGTGCAAAGCATTAAGAAAATGAGCTGCCCCCCAACCGAGCCCTGTACCCTCCTGCAAGGTGGGATGGTCTGCTCTGAGCGAGGCTGCCTTCATCTAGAGTGCGGAGGGCTCCTCGCTGGGCTGAGTGCAGGAGTGAGCAAGGCCATCTGTCAGGAGGTGGGAGGACATAGGAAGATTTCCATTTAAACTTTTTTATCTGAAAAATAAATTGAGCTTTAGTAAGCTTTCATATGGGTTTTGACTCTAGTGTGTGATTTATACATAAATGTTCATAATCAAAACAGTTTGGAAACCACTACCCTGGGAGACCAAAGCCCTGTGAAGGCTTTCTATCCTATCAGAAGCCCATTTCAGATCGGGTGCTGGGTGAGGGAAGGGAGCTGTGGGGGAGGGGCTGGGGCGCTCTGGGTACAGAATCGCTTGGGCCCTGTCAGATTCCCGGATGCCACCAGCAGTGTGGACCTTCCTGGCCACCCTGTGGTCTCCCTTCTCCCTGCCCACCCTTTCAGGCCTGCATAAGCCCCTGTAGGACTCTAGCACCTTGGACTGCCATGCTTCCTGCAAGGGAGAGAGTGGTCCCATATGATGCTCCCCTCACCCCCCGGGGCTGGCTAAAGTGCGGCCGGGGTCCCTGTAGCGGCCCTGTATGTTGTGTCACCCCCAAGAGAAAAGTCCCTGGCGGGAGGCGGCCTTCTGCCGGGAGGCTGTTTCCTCAACCAGCCAAGGTAAGAAGTGGGGGATTTCCAGCCCTGTCCACGGGGCTGAGTTTAGTACTGGGGGCTCCTCTCCTTGCTCATGCAGCCCAGACCAGGGTGAGGACAGAAACTCCGGCGTTAGGCCGATAGGCAGGCCGCTGTGAAGGCAGCAGTCAGCTAAGCCCACAAGCCTCCAGATGCTGCTCCCTGCCTCTGAGAGAGCTGAGCCCAGGATGTAACCCCAGGGCTACACCTGGGACCAACAGGAACCCAGCCCTGGAAGACCCTGACAGGCATCTTGGTGGGGAGGGGGTGCTGGAAATCCAGAGCCACGCTTACTCATGGGCCTGTGGGGAATGACTCAAATTGATGAATGCCCCTGCCTAACCCCAGCCGGCCCTGGTTCTGGTGGTAAGGGGAATGACAGCTCTCCATCTCACCCTTGAAGGCTCCCCTAACTGGCCGGTACTTCCAAGGATGCTGGAGTCAAAGGAGCCACTGTGAGCTCTTCAGGTGGGGGCCAGAAGCCTCACATTCCAGACATCCTGCCCTGAAAGCGTGGCCCCTAGGAATGGGAAGCGGTACGCTAACAGCATTCCCTGTATTCCTGTACAGTGGTCAGCTGAGCAGGGAGGGCGGGTGCAATCCCGGGGAGCAGGGGGTTGCTGAGTGGAGGGAGAAGTAAGCACCCGCGATGACCTGGTGATGGTGGCACAATGTCCCAGCTCTAATGTGGTTCTGCTCAGGCCCAGGTCCGGGCTGAAGAAACTAGACTTGCTGTGCCTGGCTGGCTTGGTCGGTGGAGCGTGCAACTCTTGATCTTCGGGGGTTGCGAGTTCAAGCCCCACATTGGGTGTAGAGATTGCTTAAAAATAAATAAAAATCTTAAAAAGAAAGAAAGAGGAAAAAAAGAAAGAAGAAAGAACGAAAGAAAGAGAAAAGAAACAAACAACTGGACTCTAACTCCACCTCCATGGAGAGATTCTCCCATGCCTCAGATGCTTACGCGTTTCATTTCATTAGTGGGCTTGTATGTATTTGCTGTGTGCACATGTGTCTGTGCTTTGTGCACACACACGCATGCTTGTAGCTCGTGTGATTGAGGCATGCCAGGTGGAGGAATAGGCTGGGACTCATGCAAAGTCCCTGAGCAGGAGAGTATCTGAGAGGTGAAATCATAAGTCCAGCCACCACCAATGCAGGCTAGCAACACGCCGTGATAACGTGCGTGCGTCATCACCAACCTACACAGCAACCAGTCTTCCAAGAACGGTGTTATCACCTCCATTTTACAAATCAATAAACTGAATGGGGCTTAGAGAAGTTAAATGACCAGACTGAGGTCATATAATGAGCACATCCCGATGTCCAGGCCAGAATTTGAACCCAGGTCAGTCTAAAGCCATGCCAGGGGTCTCTCTACCAGGCTCTCTTGGGACGGTCATCATTCATTACACTCTACTGATCCTTGTCTCTGAGATGCTGGCTGCCCTGGTCTGAGGTAACAGGCCTTTCCCCTCCCCTTCTTCCCTCCCCTCCCAGTCCAGGTGGCAAAGCAGAGCCTGTTCAAGGCCGCTTGGAGCCCAGGATGCTGTGGCCGGACCTTCACATCTAGCCTGTCCCCAGTTCAGAGAGGGTCTGGCTGGCCTTGGGCGGGATCAGCTAGGGCTGAGCTAGGGCAGCTGTTTACAGTAAACAGAAAGCTCCTGAGGAAGGAAGAAGGGGAGGGGCTGGGGTCGCCATGGAGACAGGGACCGAGCAGCAGGGCCTCAGGCCTGATCCACTAGTGCTGCTAATGCATCCCTGCTCCTTCTAGAGCCAGAGGAGGCCCAAAGAAGGTCCGGACAGGGCAGCCTGAGCCAGAGAGGCAGGGGCAGACAGGCTGGGCCTCAGAGCTGTGCCCGCCGAAAACACACGGCCGCCTCATTACGTATTTCTACTTATTAACAACAACTAATGTTTATTGACGTTAGGCCCTTGAGGATAGGTTTTCTTATTTAACCCTAGCAACAACCAGGAGGTAGGTACGATAGTCTCTAATTTATAGATGAGGAAATCGAAGTTTAGAAAGATTAAGCCATTTGTTAAGGTCACAGGGCTTGCAAGTGACAGAGCAAAAATTTTGGATCAAAAACTCTACCAAGGCAGGTAGTAGGAGAGGAGCTAGCTGGTAACGCTCTGAGTCCCTCAACTGATGGGGAAACTGAGTCCCTTGGATACCAAGGGGGCTTTCCCAGGCTTCTAGCGTTAGTCAAAGAGATTGCTGGGGACAGAACCCATGTGTTCCAGCCCTAACCACTAGACCACACGGCTTCTCCATGGCTTGAGCTGGGAAGGTCCAAAGAGAAACTCCCTTTCCAGCCCCAGCCTGGGGTGTAGACTCTTCCTCAGCTAACAGGCTGCCCCTGTGGAGGCCAGGCTGGGCCAGGGTGCTGTGGGGGATGCTGGGGGGTTTCTGCCCACACATATGGTTTCCAGATTCCAGGGGATGAAAAGGAGGCCCTTAGGGGCGGAAATGGGGGATGTGTGATGACAAATTTAGACTGATTGCTTAAAAAAAAAAAAAGGCCAAGAAACCCTAAAAAATAAAAGCAAAAATTCCACTAGAAAACCAAAGGGAATTATTTGATTGTGAAACTGAGTTGCCGTGAGGTGCAGCATGGTTTAATGTGAACAGTATCAAGGGTCCTTTCAACTTTGACTGCGCAGAGGGTGGAGGGAGAGGAGGCTCGGTCTCATGTTCTTGGCTTGGCCCGCTCAGTTCTGGGACAGAGATGAAGTCAAGCAAGACAGCTGGGAGGATGTCTGGAGTTCAGGAGTACTAGTCGGGGGCACGCTCCTATAAGGCTCAGGCCCTTCAGGTAGCTAGACTCCAAGGGTCTTTCCCGCTGGCTTATGGCCCAGGGTCCCCACAGCTCACGTAGGGAGCGGCCCCAGGGGAGGCTCCAGCTGGTCTGTACCGTAGAGTATGTGAAAGGATGAGCTGTAAGGTGGGGGTTTGGGGTATCTCTGAGTTCCAGCCTTAAAGGGAAATGGCCAGGAACAGAAGGTAAAAGAGAGGACAGCTGCCTGGAATTCTGGCCTGCAGCAGGCCCAAGGGGTCAAAGGTCAAGGGGGGGACAAGGGGGACTTCCTGAGGCTCCCAGGGGAGTGCCAGCCAGCCAGCCAGGCTGTTGTGCAAGCTCGGGGCTGGACCACGAGGGCAGGCTGGCAGAGGAGCCACGCCTGGCCCAGCCCCTCAGCCTATCCTATCTGTCCCCTGGAGCAGAGTAGTGTCCTCTCTCCTCCAGGAAACTGGGACCCCGTCCCCCAAGACAGCACTCCTGTCCCACCTCAGGGGCCATAGTCTATATGCCTGAGGGATTCCTCTCACACTCATCCTGGACCTCTCCCCCAGAATCACCATCTTTTGAGAAACCAGAAAAGCGTTCTCAAGCAAGCCTCTTCCAATTTCACTCTGATTCTCAAAGAGGAGATCAGAGGGTTTGTGCGGGAAGAGCCACGATAGGGCTTACAGGGTCCCAGCCCCAGAGGAATGAGGCACAGAATGACATGGAAGAGAAACAAGCCAACAGGAATCGCTCAGGGGCCCGGCGCTGGGCTAACCTTGCAGAAGTGCCGCACTGTTCTTGTCTAATCTACACTTGAGCCTCCAAGTTCGGTTATGTTTATTCGCATTTTAGAGTGAAGAAACTGAAGTTCTGAGGGGATGATTAAACTGACAGCTGATAAATGGCAGAGCGGAGACTTACACTTTTTCTTTCCAGATCACCTCCCTGTCCCTCAGCTCAATGCACTTTAGCTGGAGAGGGAGAGCGAGCACGGTGAAGCCTAGGACGGTGTTTGGCTCCCGATGGGCACCGGGGTCACTGTTGACCGATGGTGAATCTCATGGAGAAGGGACAGGATGCTGGCTGGAGCCTCGTGCGTGTCAGCCACCAATTTCTCCTCTGAGATTCAGCATCTGTAAGATCAGGAGGTGGGATTGGCAGCAACGGTTTTCCAACTGGGTTCCTCAGCATGCTGGCATCCCACAGAGATTGGGGTGGGGGAGGAAAGCACAGTAAATAGGGGTGTGGGCCTCCCAGCCCCGCTTCCACCAGGGAGGCACAGCATACCCATTTCAGGTGCTGAACATCCATGAAGGCTTTTTTCTTTGAACAAGAGCAGCTGAGATCTCTGCAGTGCTGACCTTCGGGAGGCATGGTCTAGGTAATTCAGGTCCTGGGCTGGTGAGAAGCCAGAGGATCTGGTAAGGGAATTGGGGTAGACCACATTTGGGCTTCTAGCCCTGAGGGAGGAAGCAGGTTGGAGGCAGAGCTGTGAGATGAGGCAGAGGAGGTGAGCTGCAGATACCCAGCACCTGCCCCCCACACCTGGGAAACACAAACAGACTTTTGGCTAAGGCAGACTGGGAACCAAGAGCAGCACCCATTTTCCTGGGGCCAGACCAATGCCCCTTTCTCTTTTCCTGCTGGGCCTGCCTGGGCTTGTTCTCAGTGGACACTGGTTGCTGGTCACCAACGTAGGGCCACCCTAACCTTCCAGTGACCCCATGGTTTCTGACTTCTTAGCTCAAGAGCTACTTCAAGGCGAAAGCTGAGAAAGAGCAAAGCAGCTCAGGGAGAGGAAAGCACCCAGTCAGAGGGCATTCAGTGAGAAGGGCTAATCCCCTTGAGAGAAGAACCCTACTTCGTGTCCCTTTTAGCAGCCGTCCTAGACCCAAGTTTGCCCCTCTGCCTCAGTTTTCCCCTTTGGAAACTGGACATGAGAACGGTGTCCCTCTCCTGGTGCCTTCAGCAGGTATAGCTCCCTGAAAAGCATCATCGCCATGCTCCAGGTGGAGGAGAAAGCTGGGGGCTCTGGCTGCCCAGTCACTAGAACTACCTAGCATCCTCCCTCTGTCCCACTGCCCACGCCAGGCCTGCCTCTGACCACCATTCCCCCTCAACCTGCTTTGGGGCCCTGCCTCACTCCACATAATCAAAGCTGCCAGCAGGGTCCTTTGTGGTGCTGCTCCCGTGTGGCACTGCCTAGGGGCCCCACCATGGGGCAACAGATGGACCTATGGTCTCCACAGAACAATGGTGGGGGAGGGGCTCTGGCATCGCCTGCCCCAAACAGGAAGCACTGCATGAGCTTCAAAGAACTGGCAGGGCCAAGGGGCTGAGTGGCTGGAGCCAGTGCCAGGAGCGGCGGCTGCCTGAAGAGGGATGCCCAGCCTGCCGTGGGGGTGGGGCTGCAGTGGCCGGGGCAGCTGGGGCTCGGACAGAGGACGCCTCACGCCCTCCGGGCAGCAGCCTTGGACCTAGAGGCGGGTTGAGAGAAGGGGGTCCAACGGGAGGCTGTCACCTGGCCCTGAGCCACTCAGCCGGCCGGGCTGCAGGTTCTTTCCCAGGCCACAGTGGGTCTGGCCCTCCAGCAAGCAACCATGAGGGGCAGGGCTGGCACCAAGCCTGCCGCCCACTCCCTGCCTCCTGCTCCCAGCTGCTCTGCTCCGAGCCTTTTCCTCTCCACTTCCTGTTCACACAGGGGGGGGGCGGGAAGTGGAGGGAGGAAGCTGGGGGGAGGCGTATAGGGGGGACCCATTGAATAAAAGGAATTAACCATTTCCCTCCTCTGACCTCTGGGAATTTCCGCCTGTGAAAGTGTCTCGAAGAATCTGCAGAGCTGGGGGAGTGGGGAGGAGGTATGCCCCTCTTGGTCCCCTCCCCCTCCCTTGGTGGTGGTGGGGCCAGATAACTCCCTCTGGGCCCCCTAACCTTTTGTTTCCCTGGTGCCCGGGCGGGGGGGGTGTGCAGCGCCAAGGGCAGCCTGGAGCCTGGTGGCCTCAGAGCCCCCTCCCAACCAAATGGGGTTGATGAGGGCCCAGCCTGCAACCCGAGCCCTGGGGTGGGGGAAGGGGGGATGGGAGAACTGGTGGTCCCTGGGGGAACGAGCTCACACCCTTGCCGGCCAGGAGCCCCGTGCCCTCCCTGCCAGGGCTGGTGCCCTTGGCCCGTCTGCCTTAGGGACAGGAGGAGGGAGGGCCGCCCAGCGGGAAAGCCAGGCCTCAAGTCGCTGGGCCGTCACACCCTCCCATGGCCACTCCCCGTGGAGCTGTGGAAGGGAGCCAGTGGTTTCGGGAAGCCAGTCGACAGCGCCCCCTCGTGCCAGCTGACGACTTGGCCAGGCAGCCCCCCAGAGCCCTCTCAAGGGCGCGCCTCAGGAAGCACCTGCTCCCCAGGACCAGGGACCGCCCTGAGTCTCCCCCAGGTGGCTTCCTTGTTTACAGGCCTCCTGCCCTGTTCTCAGCGTCACTGCCTGTGGCCACTCCTCCTATTTCCAGTGACAGCTCCAGGAGCAGCTCATTCATCTTGGTCTCTGCCCACACAGCTGCTCCCCACCACACCCCCTTCTGGCCCTCCCCAGGCTTAGGGCCAGGGCCCTGAGGGCCTTCTCTCTCCCCTCCATTCCAGGCCTCGCTTGGTTTCCAGGGATCTAGGAGCCATGGCTTCCCGTTGCCCTGACTCAACGGAACCCCATTCTGTCAGTGCCAAGGAAGCCTGGGGCCTTTTTTCCAGGAAAGAGGAAGCTGCCTAGGACCAGATGGGCAGGCTCAGGAGAGGACAGAAGAGGGCAGGGGCATCCCGGGCTGTCTTAGCCAAGTCCTCTGGGAGGAGGGAGCAATAGGGCAGTGTTTGTTTAACTAACATGTATTAGGTACCCATTATGTGCAGAGATAGACAACCCAAGCTGTTCTAAGCAAGTGACCATGCAAGTGGCAGGTCAAAGTTTAGACTGATGCTGACAGTGGGGAACGGTACCCCTTAGCCCTCTACCAGGCACGTCTAGGTATGAGGGGAGCCTTAGGCTACATGTAAAGAGAAAGGGGAACAAGAGCCCTCCAAATCTTCTTGGAACAGAAGGAACAGGAATAGGATGTTCTCTCCCCACCCAGTGATCACCAACCCTTCCACATTTGCTCCCTCTTGCTTCTGGTGGAAGACGGGAAGTCTGAGGCTCATCAAAGATGGGCAGTTTCTAACCTGACCATTGGCAGTGGCCATGAGGAGACACTTGTTCTAGTGACTGGAGGAACTCGGCAGGGCAAGGCTCCACCAGGACTGCAAGTCTTGGAAAAGGGCTACTCTGTAGGGGAGAGAAAAGTTTGCAGTCACCAGCCGGGGGCGGGGGGGGGGGGGGGGTTCACCCTGGCCCGATTCCAGGAATACGCACTTGTTACTTTGTGTCAGTCTGGGCAGCTGATAGACCACACCCATAGAGCCGGCAGTGGACTGTGAACCCCAGTTCCCCGAGCAAAGGGTGCTGCTCCCTGATGTCACAGGAAGGCCCCCATCTGGGACTCTCTAGAGTAGCCACAGCTAAAAAAGTGCAATCTGGAGGGGGAGGGGCAGGTCACAGGAGTTAGAGGGGGAAAAATGTATCTGCCATATGCCATGGATGGTGGGTGGCAGTCTCAAAGCTGGCAGAAGCTGGGAACACAAGGATCCAGGCTGGCAAGGGAAGGGCAAGCAAAATCTAGAACGCATAAGGGCTAGTGGAGGGAGGATGGGGGCTTAGATTCACGGTTAGGCAGTGCAGACTCCCAGGACATACTAGGGAGGAACAGACTGAGGAAGCACTAGTGGAGAAAATGACAAGAACTCAATGCCCCCCAGTTGCCGGAGTGTGAAGGATTCTGTGGGGTGCAGCACCACCTGCTGGCCGAAGGGAAGAACAGTCCTTGGTCTGAGAGGATGGTGGGCCATCATTCCCAGCTGAAGCCTGGAGCCACAGAGGATGGGAGTCGAGGGACAAGGAAGCAAGGAAATCACAAAAACGGCACAATCAATTGGTCACATCTCCAGAAGAAGGAGCGAGGGCCAAGGCTGGAAAGCATTCAGGGTCCTGGCAGCCTCCCTGTGCGATCGTAGCTCCCCTGGAGATGACTCACCCGCCCCTCAGGCCGGCATCAACACAAAGCCATCCACTCGAGAGCCCCCAGTGCAGTGCACGCGGTTTAATGAGCCCCGCCCCCATCACCATCTCCCCCTGTCCTCCATGAGGCCCTCTGTCCCAGGGCACCCCCACACCAGAGCCCCAAAAGGTGGACACAAGAGGTGCCCCCTACCGGCACCACCTTTCCCACCCTCCGTGCCCACGACTTGGAGGGGCTGCCTTTTTGCTCTGGGATCTAGGGGCAGACATGGGGAGAGGCCTTCCTCTGAGGGAGAAGGGCCACAGCGTGAAAAGGAAGAATGGTACTCTCACTCTAGAAGGTGAACAGGATGTCTGTGGGGCGTAAAGAGGACTGTTAGATGGAGGGGGACGGTGATGAGGTGAGAACTCGGACTTCTCCAGGCTAAGGCCCTCTATTGGGAGGCACGCAGATGGCCTGGCCGAAGAGCAGCTCCAAGGCAGCTCTCGAGAACAGCGCGGCCAGTGGCAGAATACACTCACAGATGACACCTTTCAGGCGACAGCTATAATTCCACTCTCCCCAACACTGTCACGGCCCAGCGGTCTCCAGACGCCGGACCACAGACCATAGTGTGGCCTTCCCAAGAAGGGGCAACTGCCCTGACTGCCTACCCACCCAGCAGGCCAACACCCTTCTTCCTACAGCCAACTGAGGTGCTCCTCCTCATAGCGCTGGGGGTCAATGAAGGGCCGGTCAATGGAGCGGATCATCAGCTCCCCACAGTACACGCACTCGGCGGCCACCAGTTCATCGAGATCAGCCTTGAGCTGTTCCCGACTGGGCCCCGCCGTGGCAGCCCCACCCTCGGCCTCCTTGGCGCGGGCAGAGCCCTTAGTAGGGGCCGGAGCAGCCCCCAACTTCCGCTGCAGCTCCTCGAGCCGGGCCTGCTTGTAGGCCGGCAGGCCAGGCCGCACGGCCTGCAGCAAGCAGTCAGCATGGAACATGTGGCCACAGAGGAAGAGGTAAAAAGGGCGGTTGAGCAGGGGGAAGTCACAGGTGGCACACTTGTCCTGTGGCTCCACCGTGCCGTAGCGGCCCCGCAGCTCCTGCAGGTCTCGCCGGATGCGCTGGGCGCTGGCCGTGGCCTCTTCCATCTCCCGCTGCAGCTCCTGGATGTGGTGGTTGTAGGCCTTGAGCGAGCTGCAGATCGCCTCCTTGAAGTGGTCGATGGTGACGAAGTCAGGAAAGAAGGGCAGCACATCCTCGATCTTCAGCAGGGGGCAGCTGGCCAGGCAGGCCATGGCCGTCTGCACGTCCTCCTCCTCCTGCACCACGTGCCGAGCAATCTTCAGCCACAGCTTCTTACGCAGTTCCTCGTCGTCCTCGGGCAAGTCAGCACACTGTTTGGCCAGGTCCACGTCCACCTGCGGGGAGACCGCGAGCAGTAGGCGCGAGGATAGAGATTGGGGGAGACACAGATGCCCAGGGAAAACCTGGGCCCCAGGAGAAGCCCCAAGGCAGGATCCCCTGGCAGCAAGCGAGGTGGGGCTTCTGGGGGCCAGGACAGGAACCTGTCTCAGTGACGGGCCTGTCCCCATCACCGCTTTGTAAAAGCTACTCACGGTGAGGGGGCTTTGATTTTGGCAAATTTAAAAATCACCTGGGGAGCATATTCAAAATACAGATTTTGGGGCCCTACCCTCAGACTTTCTGATTCAGTAAGTCCTGGCTTCAAACCCAGGACTTCACATTGTAACGTAACTCAGCAGTTGCAACTAGAACACAGTCGCTAGCACGGACGTAGAACTTACCCGCAGAGCAGGTGCCGCTCTGAGGGCTTTGCGCATACACTACTCTCATCAACCCTAGGAGGGAAGTAACTAGAACACTATCCCATTTGTGGCCGAATGATCTGAGGCAAAGAGAGGGTCAGAAATCAGCCTGAGGTCACCCAGCCTCGTAAGCGGCAGAACTGGATTTCAAACCCTGACATCGGGAGTCCACGTTCTTAACCTCTGCACTGCAGCACCTCGCCGGCGCCCTCTAGCCACAGCCCCCCCCCCTCCAAACCCTCAGCCTCTGACACGACTGCTCTCCAGGCCTCTGTCCTGGATCGGGTCAAACTCATCGGCTCACCTGCAGGGCCAGGTCCACAGCCTCCTCGTACAGCTCTAGGACCTTATAGACATGGACACAGGCACGGTGGTGGCCGTGCTCAGCACAGAGACGCAGCGCATACTTGAGGTCGTAATGCACGCGGTGCGGGCTGGCGCCGGCCTGCTCAAGGTAGGCCAGCAGTGAGGCCGGCTGGCCCCGGGCATATAGCGACAGCAGGTAATTGTGAATCGCCTGCTCCGTCTCGCCGAGCACATTCACGCAGAACTCCATGTAGCGGATGGCCTGGCTCACCTGCTGGGCTTCGCCACCCTGGCTATAGTTCACCAGGGCAGGGATGAGCTGCCGGGCATCCAGCCGGCTGCCCAGCTCAATCCAAGCATCCACCAGCTGGCGGGGGATGTGACGAATGAGGATGGGCGAGAACTTATAGAAGAGCTGGGGGTCACGGTGGCGAGCAAGCACTGCCAGGGCCTCCTCGTAGGCCTCATGCTGGCAGTGGTATGCCACCACGCGCTCGTAGTCCTGCATGATCACGGCGAAGTACACCATGTGTTCTGTGTCCCCGTGGCTGGCGAGCAGTTCGTGGATGGAGGCCCGGCTGGCAAAGAGCCACTCCTTGTGGCGGGGGCTGCTGAGGAAGGACCGGAAGCGCTCCCGTGTTTCCCGGTACAAGTTCAGGGCCTCGGGATCACCCTGCAGTGCTCCGAGCCGGCTCAGGTAAAGCTCCGTCAGCCAGGTGGTAAGCAGTGTGGCCTGGGTGCGCTCGGCTGGCTTCAAACCGGCCAGTTTTCGCTGCAAGAACTCAGCCAGAGCCTCCTCCTGTCGGGCCTCCAAGAACTTGAGGGCAATCTCCTCGAAGTAGCTCTGGGTCAGGGCGTAGCAGCGGGCGCTCTCCAGGTAACGACGCTGGCGAAAGCAGAAATCAGCCTCCCGGGCCAGGACTGTGTCCAGGCAGTCAGGCCGCTCTCGACAATACTCTTTGGCCAGGTCGAAGCGGTTCATGTCCAGGTAGGTGCGCCAGACATCCCGGGCTTCCCGCTGCACGTGGTAGCGGAAGACGGCACGCTCAGTGTAGGCCCACAGGTGGCCCGTGGAAGAGTCCTTCACCATGTGCTTCAGGGGCCCAAACTTCTCCAGGAAGTGATCCCGCAGCACCACCTGCCCCGTCAGCGTGCACACTGCCTCCACCCGGTCCGCCAGCAGCAGCAGGAAGTGGAACTGGGTCAGGACGAGAGCCAGGGGTGGGCTGGCCCCCGGACCTACCCCCTCGGGGTACTCCCAGACTCGCTCTTCGCTCAGCAGGGAATCGGGACGCCCGCAGTCCAATGCTCCGTACAACACGCCATCCCCCATCATCCAGGCGAAGGCCCGAGGTGCGGAGCGCAACTTGGGGGTATAGAAGGCCAACTCACTGTAGCCCAGACTGCTGGGGAACTCACGGAATGGGGGTGGGTGGTCGGTGTAGGCAGCGAAGAGCCCCGCGAAGCCCTGGGCCTCAGCCCCCTCTGCTGCTCGACCTATGAACTGGAAGAGGCGCTGCCGGGTGGTGGCGATAACAAAGCCACGCCCGTCAGGGCCCCGCTCGGCCTCGAGGGAGCACACGGGTGCTGGACCCCCTTCTTCGTTTAGTACATACAATGGGCGGAAGTAGAGATCTGGGGCGGGGCCGAAAAGCCCACCCTCGCTGGCTGAGAGCTCTGCTTCGAAGATCTGGCCTTGGGCGGTGCCGACCAGGATGGGGCCAGTGCTGCTCTCGGTGCCCAGTGCCTTGTTCCAGCCCACACTCTCCACCAGCTGCCCCTTCCAGCGTGCCAGCGGCCGGACCTTCTGTCCATTACGGTTCACATAGAGGACCTCAGTGCTGCTCAGAGCAATCAGCAGGTGAGAGCCTGCAGTGGGGGAGAGCAAGGCACCCTACAGAAAGCTGCCATTCCCACCCTCAGCCTCCTCCCTGCCCCCACCACTCGCAGATCCCACCCGCCCGGGCAGTGACTTATGCTCTGCTCAACTACCCCTCTAACCCCAGACCTCCCCCCCAAGCCCCCCACTTACCAGTGTGGTCCAGAAACATCTTGTGAACCTTGGCATCATCCTTGCGCCCCAGCTCCACGTGGTTGGGTTCATTTGCCTTGCCCAAGTCAATGCTGTCGAGACAAGAGTCACAGCATCACTCCAGAGAAGGGCAGAGCCTTTTTTGGAATCACAGATCTCTTTATAATCTGATGAAAGCCACAGCCTTTCTGCCCTGAAATCTATATACACACATATAATTGTGCATACAATCCCAAGGGAACTCTGAAATACATACAGGGTCCTACTTAAGAACCCTCCGCTCTGAGAATTCCCCCACCTCATTTTGAGAAGTCACTGAACAGAGGTCTTTTCCTCTGCTCAGTAGATGTGCAGTGCATCTGGGAAGACAGGCAGGAGTATCCCAGATTGCTGGGGTAAAAAGAGAACAACATACAGTAGTTAATGGTTACTGAGCACTTTATTTTATTTTTTAATATTTTATTTTATTTGATAGAGAGAGACACAGTGAGAGAGGGAACACAAGCAGGGGGAGTGGGAAAGGGAGAAGCAGGCTTCCTGCTGAGCAGGGAGCCCGATGCAGGGCTGGATCCCAGGACCCTGGAACCATGACCTGAGCCGAAGGCAGACGCTTAACGACTGAGCCACCCAGGCGCCCCGTACTGAGCACTTTCTATATATGAAGCACCATGCCAAGAGCTTAACCTAGTAGAGCTCAATGAATCTTCTTGATAACCTTGAGGAATGCTCCTGTTTGTATTTCCCTTATTAAATTCTTTTCAAATAATATGTTCATTCTAAGCAAAGAATCAAAGTATTTGAATCAGGTCACAATCAAAGATGGTGGGAAAATGATATTTTTCCACATATGACTACAGATTTAAATCCCTATTCCTTAAAAAGTCCTTAAAAATTAGTAAGAAAAAGACACTTCAGTAGATAGGGGAGGGCAAAAAATATAAACCAGCAGTTTACAAAAGAGGAAGTCTACATTTCTTTCTTTTTTTTTTTTAAAGATTTTATTTATTTATTTGAGAGAGAGAGAGTGAGAGAGAGCACGCAAGAGGGGGTAGGAGAGGGAGAAGCAGACTCCCTGCCGAGCAGGGAGCCCGATGTGGGACTCGATCCCGGGACTCCTGGATCATGACCTGAGCCGAAGGCAGTCGCTTAACCAACTGAGCCACCCAGGTACCCAGGAAGTCTACATTTCTAATAAACATCTAAAAATATTTTCAACCTTTGGGAAATAACAGTAAGGTACCATGTTTTTAACCTATCAGATTGGCAAAAATTAGAAATAGTAACCTATGGTGCTGGTGACGCTTAACTGACTGAGCCACCCAGGCACCCCGGGAGAGAGAATCTTAAGCAGGCTCCACGCCCAGACTGATGCAGGACTCGATCTCACAACCCTGAGATCATGACCTGAGCTGAAATCAAGAAATGGACACCTAACTGACTGAGCCACCCAAGCGCCCTGTATTATTATTTTCTTAAAGTAAACTCTACACTCAAGGTAGGGCTCGAACTCAGGACCCCAGGATCAAGAGTTCCATGCTCTTCCCACTGAGCCAGCCAGGTGCCTCTCAAAAGTTTTTTTTTTTTTTTTTTGGTCATAACAGCAATTACTGTGTAGTCAAGTAGATCTATCTTTTTCCTAGTGGATTTTCTAGCTTGAGTAAGAAGATCTCCCTTCAGTCCAAGAACACAGACATTTCTTAAATATTCTTTGATTCTTTTTATCTTTATTTGTTTTTTTAAAGAGGGACGGAGGAAAAGCAGAGGAGGGGGAGAGGGAGAGAGAGAATCTGAAATAGACTCAGTGCCTAGCACAGAGCCTGACGTGGGGCTCAATTTCACAACCCGAGATCATGACCTGAGCCAAAATCAAGAGTCAGATGCTTTACTGACTGAGCCACCTAGGCACCCCCATTAAATATTCTTTTGATATTCAGTTTATTTTTTTATTTTTAAAGATTTTATTTATTTGAGAGGTAGGGGGAGAGGGGTGGGGGGAGGAGCAGAGAGGGAGAAGCAGGCTCCCCACTGAGCAGGGAGCCCAACATGGGGCCCAATCCCAGGAGCCTGAGATCACAACCTGAGCCAGAGGCAGATGCTTAACCGACTGAACCACCCAGGTGCCCCAATATTCAGTTTATTTTTAATATTTAAATAATTATTCCACTTAGAATTTATTTTTGTGATATAGAGGCTTACCTCTGTTTTATCCCAGATGGTTATTCTGGATAAACAATTTTGCTGATACTTTTGTTATATATTATTTCCACTTATGTATGTATGGATGTATATATTTCCAGTTTTATTGAGATATATTATTTCCATTTATAGCAGATTTATTTTAGGACTCTAGACAGTTCCCCTGATCAATATGACCAATTTGTGGGTTGGTACTATCTTTAACAGATGAAGGGACACATTTGGAGAGACTGGGTGACTTGCTCAACATTCCCTAGCTGTTAAGAGGGAGAGCTGGGATCTGACCCAGGTCTACCTGATTTTAACTACTATACTACATTAATTCTCTTTGGGAATGGATATTTTTGGAAAATTCCAAATCTAGGGGCGCCTGGGTGGCTCAGTTGTTAAGCGTCTGCCTTGGGCTTGGGTTGTGATCCCAGGGTCCTGGGATCGAGTCCCGCATCAGGCTCCCTGCTCAGCAGGAAGCCTGCTTCTCCCTCTCCCACTCCCCCTGCTTGTGTTACTTCTCTCGCTGTCTCTCTCTACGTCAAATAAATAAATAAAATCTTAAAAAAAAAAAAAAAATCCAAATCTACTGTTTCACCTGCCCAGAGTGAAAGAAAGGCCCTAGTCAGTGATTAGTCCCCAAATACCACTAATCCACTCCCTACTCCTAAGCCTTTTGGGCCCTCACTTACCGGAGTAGTGTATCCTTCCCCAGGCTCATGCAGAGCTGATTGCAGGAAACGACAAGACTGGTAATTCGCTCAGAAGGGGTAAAGTCAATGCGCTGCTTCGTGAAGATGGGCACTTCCTTCTCTAGCTGGGCATTCACAAACCCTACAGGAAAGGAGGGAATTAAAGGTTAGGTATGGAAAACACGGAGGAAGGACAAGGAGAGGCAACAAAAAAAGTTTCCTCTCCACCTTCCCAACATATCCCTACCCCAAGCCCTTGGTTAAAAGCTTAATATCAATATATCAAGTAGTTTGCTAATCACCTCTACATCAGGGGTCCTGGGCTCTTTTCACACCTCTGATAGCCATGAGGGGTGGATTCTTTCAACCCTTAACTGCTGCTACATGGTCATGTACCTGCTCCCAATGGTAATGGGGGGGAAGGGTTGGGCGTTCTCCCTTATCAATCTTGGACCCAGCAATCCCAGCTCAACCAAAGTATTCTAGATCCACTCTCTCCCCTCCTCCCCGCCCATGCATTAATGTTCTGAGTCTCCAGAAGAATGAAGGCAGAGGGAGCCCTGGGGAACAGTTCCAATCAAACTGCAGCTTCTTTCTCTCTAGCCTTTCCTCTCATGTCTTTACCATTGCACAAAATATCCCAGCACTTCAGATCCCTCTGCCAACTCTGTCCTACTTTCTACAAAAATTTCCCCTCAACACCAGGCTGCACCCAGATCTAGCAAAGGCCTAAAATTTTTTTTTCCCTGTTCAGTGACGAAGTTCCCTCTAGGACCAGCCTTCCTTCCCCTACAACATTCCCCTTCCACCGTTTTATTTGACCACTCTCTTCTTCCCACCTGCCGAAGGAAAAGCGTAGGCTCTGGCTGAAGCCTTGGAGCCTATTCTCAGTTCTCTCAACTGTGGCCCTGTAGACAAGCCACTTCCGTATCTGGGTCCCAGTTTCCTCTTAGGACCCTAGTGGCAGGGCCTAGATCACGAGGCTGCTCTTGCTGCTCTTTCAAACTTCGACCATCCACCAGCTGGGGGCCAAGAGCGCCTGAGGAGAATCAGGGGCCTAGACTTGGACTGCACCGCCAGGCGGTGAACCGGACCTCCTGGAGCTACTCCCCGGATCCTCCCCCGCAGGTGCCAGGTGAGCGAACAGGGTGAGCGGCGCCCTCCCCTCCCTTACCGGAGTGGGGGATGCCCACGCTGGGGCAGCCAGGCTGCAAGACGGCTGAGCGGGACAGGGAGTCCTCGTATTCATCCAGGATGGACGCCATGGTGCCCGGCCTCTGGGCCCTCCGTCCCGGGCCCAGGGATTACAACAGGGCTCCCCCCAGGGATCCCCGTCGCCCTGGATTGGAAACTGCGTCTCCCCAGCCTCGACAAGAATCTGACAGATGTTGGCAATCCGCCGCCCACTCCTCTTTAAAATCCTGAGGGTTTTCTCGCTCCCGCCTTATAAGGCGAGAAGAGTGGGGGAACCCTCCCCCTTGAATCTGGAGCAGTCCTGCACCCCGCTCCCGCCCCCCAGAAGATCACTGGCTCCCTTCAGCCGATGTGAGAAGATCCCAACCTCGCCCCAGCAGCTCAGCTGACTCCCGCCCCCGGGACGCGTGCCTATAACGTAACTTCCGGGTTCTCAGAGCCCCACTTTTACTCGCGTAGGAACGTGCCCCCGCCGGCCACGGCAAGGCGCGGCGACGGCTGCGGAGGAGGAGGCGGGGCCAAGAGGGGGGCGGGCCAGGGCCTGGGCCCAGTCAGCTCTTCAGGGCGGGAGCCGGAAGTGCTGCGGGAGTGCTCGGCTTGAGGCGGAGCCCTGGACGCGTCACAGCTGCACTCGGGCTGGGTGCTGGGCTGGCCCCTCTGAATACAGGTCCTTCCTTCCAGGATCCTGGTGCAGTTCCGAGCTCTGACGCAAGGGGGCAATCCCGGCTTTTTTAGGCCCTTTCCCACCGTGCCGCGGAGTGCAGCCCCGCCTCGAAGCCAGTCCCCTGCTCCTTTCATGCCCAGCCTCCCCTCCTTCAGGCGGCGACCGCTCGGCGTCCGTGTCCAGCTCCCGCTCCGACCTCTCCAAACAGGCCGCTGCCTCAGGAGAACCTCCCGTTCCTCAGTTTGGTCGCTGTCTTGATCCTCACAAGGCAAAGGCAAGCAGTTCTGGCCTCTCTTCTCCCACATTTAGCCAAGAGCCACCTAACCTGCCTCTAACCGGCTCCGTAATGGCTCCTCGGTGTGGGGAGAGACAGAAGGGGCGGCAGAAAAGACCAGGCACAGCTAAGGGGTGCCGGTCTGCTTCCATTCACGCGTTCAAAATAGCGTTGAGCGCTAACTTTGTGCCTAGCCTTGGGCTGGGTGCTGGAGTCACAGAGGTTAAGCACAATATCGTCCTTGAAGGCCATAAACTAGCAGGGACAGTGGACCGGTGAACAGATACTTAATGCTAGGAAAGCGATGGGTGGATTTGTTCAGAAGCTCGCTCCTTCCACAAGTGAGCTCACGCTCTCTGTCAGCCACTATTCCAGGCTCTGGCGGCGGCACAACAGAACAAAATGGACAGAAGTCTCAGCCCTCGTGAGGCTTACCCAGGGACATGGCCACAGCGCTGTGGGGAGCACAGAGGCGCAAATACCCGCAAAGCAGGAACGAGGGCCCAAGTGACCTTGAAGGCCGGTGGGGAGTCCAAAGCGGAGGAATGTGGAGTGCGACTCCTCCGTTTCAGTTTCCCTCTTCCGCCCGCCTAGGCCACCCAGACGGATTCTACCTTGTTAGAATGGAAGGCTATTGGCCAGGGTCACCGCCATCCTGGCTTTAACGGGTAGCCTGTGCCTAATGACTAAAAGAGCCCCCTTTACTCTCAAATGCGTCCAGTTTGCACAGTATATTGTGTGGTCCCACTACTCGCCCAACTTCTCTGCCAGGCGCAGACCCTGACCAGCCTCCACCCAGGGCTCTCTGACCTGGAGTGGCCTTGGCCTGGGACGAGGCCACATGTTAGGCGGCCCAAAATAACTTTCTGCTGCTCCCGGTCCCACTTCTCCTGCCCAGAACCTGCGGGAGCAATGCCACTCTCCCAACCAAGGGCGCTGCCTGGCAGGCTAGGTCCGAAAAGGGAAGATGCCAGAGGTGAGCCGCAGACAAGAGGTTTCTGCCCTGGGAAAAATGGTCCCACCTAGGGAGCTGCCCTGCTCGGTGCAGAAGGCTCCACCCAAGATCACCTGCCTTATGCATTAGGGAAATACAAATGGGCCCAGCCTAAGGTCAGATAATAATAAAAGGAACATTTACTGAGTATCAGCAATGTGCCAAGCACCACACTAAGTTCATAATAATCATTGTTATTTCATTTTACCCTTACCCTAATGCTAAGAAGCAAGTACTGCTCTTTTCTCCATGTTACAAAATCAGAAACTGACATTCAGAATGGAAAAGCAATTTGTCCAGGGTCAGGTGGCCAGGAAATGGGGAAACCAGAAGGCAGTATTCAAATATAAGCAGATGCTGAAGAGTTAACCAACACACTTCCATTTCCCAATGCAAGATGAAGAGGAGAGAGTACAGCTGATTCCTCAGGTCTGGACTGTGCAGAGGAATGTCCCCCTTGCATGGAGCCAGCCAGCATCGAGGGGTGTCTCAGGGACACAGAGTCCTTCCAGCTACCTCCTCACTGTCCCTAAAACCTTCCTCCTGGGTTTCACTGCTTTCTGAAATGTATAGGGTGGGCCCTAAGTGGGCCTTGCTTACTATGGACTCAGTACACACCACTGTTGAGTTGAATACAGTAGGATTCCTCTGCATACTCATTCTCCCATCCTTATGTTGGACTTTGGAGTAAGAACAAGACCAGCATTCTTTTCCCTGCCCAATCACTCACTAGTTGGACACTGTGTGCAGGTGATGCTCTTAACTTCAGTTTCCTCATCTACAGAAATACTGTAGGTATAATGATACATAGGTCTGTGTGGAAAAGTAAATGAGGTGATCTAGGTGAAAGCTCATTGCTCTAGCATAATGTCCAACACAGAGGATATGCTCAGGAAACTAAAAATGTGGCTTTAATCTGACAGTCATTCTCAAGTCCACCTCCTCCACGAAGCCTCCCTAGACTACAACTTCCCCATCAGAACTGCTATGGCTTTTCTTATCCCGGCCATTTACTGACCCTTAATTAAGAAGCATGGGTATTTTTCTTTGATATAACAGAAGCTGATTGTGGAGAATACCCCAAACAAACCTGAGCACAGGAATACTGAAGTGTCTTAGGGAACTCACAGCTGGGGATACAGATCCACCAGCTCCTACCTCTCACAATCTGTGTGGTTGTTGCCACAAGATAGGTAAGGGCTGACTGCTGGGCCAGGGAGTAAGAGGAATACTGTATGAAAGGAGGTGAATTTGAGCTAAGACTTGAAGTGCATGCATGATTTCCAAGGGCAAAAAAAGAGAAGGCATTACGCAGGCCTCAAGAAAACCAAGAGAATAGGCCTGCAAACAGGTCAATTGGGGGCTGGGGAACTAGAGCATCAGGGAGTGGGGCAGTGTAGGAAATGGGACCAGTTGTGGCCAGATTATGAAATCAGTTGAATAGGCCATCAGAAGGCTTTGGTTAGGGATGAGATCATCTGATGTGGGTTCTAAAAAAATGGGTGGTGGCTTGGGTGGAGTCCACATCAGAGAGTATGAGACCTGAGGCAGAGAAGTGGTGAGGGCCCAACCTGGAGAGAGAGTAGACTGGGAAGACTCTGGGGAGACATGTCTGAGGAAGAGCCCACTGGAGTTAGTGACAGGTTAGATGTGGGGATGAAGGAAGGGTTCAGGACGACTCCTGGGGAGACGTGGCAGATGGTGCAATGTCACCATTGTACAGGACGAGGAAGAGCTGGATGGGGGTGGGGCAGAGGTCACATGATTGAGCACAATCTGGACAGTGGCACCTGAGACCCCTGCAGGGCATTTACTCTGAGAGACCCAGCATCATGGGGCAGTCATAACTTACTAATAAATATTTACTAAACAATTGCATGAATGACCTTTTTCATGCTTCAGTTTCTACATTTGTAAAATGAGAAAAATCTACCTGTAGCATTGTGAATATTGGAGAATATTATGCAAATCACTCAGCACTGTGCCTATACCTAGAAAATGCTCAATACAAGTTAACTAGGGACGCCTGTGTGGCTCAGTCGGTTAAGCTTCTGCCTTTGGCTCAGGTCATGATCCTGGGGTCCTGGGATACAGCCCCAAGCCCAGTGTCGGGCTCCCTGCTCAGCAAGGAGTCTGCTTCTCCCTCTCCTCCCTGCTCTCATGCTCTCTCGCTGTCTCTCTCTCGCTGACTCTCTCTCTCAAATAAATAAATAGAATCTCTAAAAAAAAATACAAGTTAACTATTAGTAGTAATTGTTGACTGAATGAAGACCCAGACCAAAAGGAGTGATTTAATTGACTTAAGTGAGTAATTTGTTTTTTTTTAAGTTTATTTATTTATTTAGTAATCTCTACACCCAACATGGGACTTGAACTCCCTGAGATCAAGTGTCACATGTTCTCCTAACGGAGCCAGCCAGGCACCCCAGATTAGTTTTTTTTTTAAATACACATTCTTTTTTAGAAGTTTTAGATTTATGGAAAAAGTGAGAAGACAGTGGAGGGTTTCCATATATCTCACATTCAGTTTCCCTTAGTACAAACATCTTACATTAGTATGGCACATTTGTTAAAATTAGTAAATCAATATTGATACATTATTATTAACTGAAGCCCGTACTTTATTCAGATCGCCTCAGTTTTTACCTATTGTCCTCTTTCTGTTCCAGGATTCCATCCAGGATATCATCTTATATTTAGTTGTCATGTCTCCTTAGGCTCCTCTTGACTCTGGCAGTTTTTCAGACTTTCCTTGTTTTTGATAACCTTGACAATTTTGAGGAGTATTGAGCAGGTATTTTGTAGGATGCTCTCTATTGGAATTTGTCTGTTATCTCTTTCATAATTAGATTGGGGTTATGGGTTTGGGGGAGGTGAAATACCATTATCATCACATCATATCAAGGGTATATACCATCAACATGACTCACCACTGTTGATGTTGACCTTGGTAGCGCTTGTCAGATTCTCCACTGTAAGGTTACTCTTCCTCCCCACCTTTCTCTCTTTCTTTCTTTTTCTTTCTTTCTCCCTTCCTTCCTTCCTTCCTTCCTTCCTTCCTTCCTTCCTTCCTTCCTTCCTTCCTTTCTTTCTTTTTCTTTCCTTTCTGAAGATATATTTATTCATTTGACAGAGAGAGCATACAATCAGGGGGAGCAGCAGGGAGAGGGAGAAGCAGGCTCCCCGCTGAGCAGAGAGCCCAATGCGGCCCGAACCCCAAACCCAGGACCCTGGGATCCTGACCTGAGCTGAAGGCAGTCGCTTAACCGACTGAGCCACCCAGGCGACCCCCTCCCTTTTTTTTTTTAAGATTTTATTTATTTATTTGAGAGAGTAAGCCAGTGAGAGAGAGCATGGCGAGGGGACAGCAAAGGGAGAGGGAGAAGCAGATTCCCCACAGAGCAGGGAGCCCCATGTCCCCAAGTGGGGCTGGATCATGATCATGTAACTCCAGGATCATGAC